AAAAATAAAATAGCAAAAGACAAGAAAACTGCTTCATGTTTTGGTTTCTGCATCATTTGCCATAATTTTTGGCTGGAGGTAAATGGTAAGGAAAGTGTTTTGATTAGAGATTTTGTTCAAAAAGTTGTCAGAAGAAGATTTTACATTGGGTGCTGGGTATATAATGCAATGTACAGATGATGTATAATAGAATGGCATGCTTGAAACATATATAATTTTATTAACCAGTGTCACTCCAATAAATTTAATTAAAAAAGTCATTTACTATATAAACAATGTGTTTTGTTCAGAATACCCATAAAAACTTCACTTCTCTGAGGAAGCAAAGTAAGCCAGATGTCAAGAAAGGAACTGGGATTAGGAACAGTATAAGTGAATGAAAGAAAAATAGGTATCAGGGCTGGCTTCCTGGAAACAGGATTCTTTGGCCACAGGCAGCACGAAATTTTTCATCCTTGCAATGATGCCAGGCCTGGCACTGCTTCTGTGGTACTCACCTTCCTCTGTGATGGTAATGCCAGTGGATCACAAACTGGGCTGGGTGTCAGAATCATCTGGAGTGATTTTTGAGAGCATAGACTTCTCATATTCATCACAGGGCTACTGAATCAAAATTCTGGTGATAAAAACCCCACAAATGATCCTGAAGTAGTCAGCTGGGTATTGCTCATATGGTGATCATCAGGGATTGATATACGATGAAGGATTGAAAAAAAGCCGGAATCTATATTTAAAAAAATGTGTATTTATTCTTATGTGTAAACTTCAGTCACCTTCATAGTACTCTCCCTGTGATGCAATACACCTACTGAGACTTTTTTCCACTGTTCAAAACAGTTTGGGAGACTTCCGGGCAAGATGGAAGAGTAGGGAGACATGCTTTGCCTCCTTGCTCAACTACAGAGAGAATTACAACTAAATATTAAAAAATATAACACCCAAAACTCTCAGAAAGTCAAATTGTATAGAAGTCCAACAACTAAGGACTTAAAGAAGCCACATTTATTCAGATGGGTAAGAGGGGTGGAGACCCAGAGACCCAGAGGTGTGGAGATGCACTGTGGCACTGAGAGTCAGCAGTGGTGGTGGAATAGACAGTCCCACATCCACAAGTGGTGGATAAAAATCAGGAGGGTTACCTTGGGAGTGAGCAATCGCAGCCCCAGGCCAGACCACACAGCCCAGTGACAGGAAGAGAAATTCCCATAACTCCTGGTTGTAAAATCCAATGCAGGTTGGGGCAGTGGAATAAGCTGCCAGAATTTCAGGAGACACTGCTTAAAGGGCACTCACAGTCTTAGAATGTACACAAACCCACCCATTCTGGGACTCAGCACCAGCACAACAGCTGCAGGGGTGCCAACTGCATATGGGGAGTGGTGAAGTGACTGGAAAGGGGCAAGAGCTGGGCAACCTCTTGAAGAAAGGCAGCAACACTGAGACCTCCCCCCTCTCTGAGACCTCCCCACACAGAGCCATAAGGTGGTGAAGAGGGTTGGCCCACTCTGGCAATTATGTAATGCTCTACTCCACACAATGTATAGGTGCTTTACTATAATAGGCCATGCTACTAAGGCCAGGAGTCAAAGCAGCTCTACTTTGGGGGCAAAGGTGATAAAATTGGAAAAACTCTAATAGCATATTCAATAAAATACGTTTAAAAAAAACAAGGCAGTTTTCTAACTCATCGATTTTGATGCTTTTTAGTGCTTTTGCCATTTGTTTCACCTCTTCCACACAGAGAAAACATTTTCCTTTAAGGACTTTGTAAATTCAGAGGGGTGGGGAAAGTGGCTGGGGTGAGATCAGGTGGATAGGGAGGGTGTGGCAATGGGGTCATGCTGGTTTTGGTCAAAAACTGCTGAACATTCAGCATGGTGTGGGCAGGTGCACTCATAAATTACCCATTAGGAAATGGGCAAACGAGTTGCAAGAGTCTTCCAAAAGAATTTACTGAGGCTAAATACAGCCTCTCATACCAATGCCAGCTGGTACACTGATACAGATGGGTTCCTAGAACACTCACCTAGTGGGGGAAGCCTGTACTACAAAGGGCCCACATTCCAGAAGTAATTACAGTTTTATGGTGGTCCCCTCATATTACTCAAATATCAGTGGTCAAATAGGAAGAGGTCCAAATTTTGATCTTCTACATATTAGCTAGGGGATGCTGACAATGAACTGAAATTCTCCAACACCAGTTTCCATTTTTGTAGTAGCAGAAAATGAACCTCCTGATGGTAGTGTTTTGAGGATTAGTTGTAATATGTGTATAAATTACTCAGGCCATTTGCAGGCATATAAGTGGCAGCTATTCAGAATCACCCTCATACATATGTATTAATTTCAGAAATACTTTGGGCTATGTCACAGAATAAACACATAAATACAGGATGCTAATATCATTTTGAAGTAGGTACAATATATTGTCAAATAGGGACTACTTTTGATCATATTTGCATCTCCTTTCCATTTGCCAGCTCTCAAAAGTCTACGGCCCAGTGTTCACTGTGTACTTTGGCAGGAGGCCCACTGTGGTGCTGTATGGATATGAGGCAGTGAAGGAAGCCCTGATTGATCAGGCTGAGGAGTTCTCTGGCAGAGGAAGTTTTCCAGTGGTTGAAGAAGCAAACAAAGGAAAAGGTAGGTTCTTGTATATTCATATATTTTTAGTATTATAGTTGGGGTGGAGAGGATGGACAACAGGAGTTTGAAGATCTCTTCAGCAAAGTTTGGTCCATGCATGTGGCTCCAAGTGTCAGCTTCCTTCTCTGTGCCTAGCCCCTCCCTGACAGTTTCTGTTACCACCCTTTGGGGTCTTGCCCCAAACCCCAAAAGGAGTCTTTTTCAGCACTGGAAATGAATGGAAAGAGATGCGGCGCTTCTCCCTCATAACCCTGCGGAATTTGGGGATGGGCAAGAGGAGTATTGAGGACCGTGTTCAAGAGGAAGCCTGCTGCCTTGTGGAGGAGCTGAGGAAAACCAATGGTGGGTGATTCTCTATACTGTAACTCTGACCTTAACAGACTGGTGTGTTCCCTAGTGACGTCCTTGGAAATATTTCTAGGGCAGTCAAATCTTGTATATGGGTGGTGGTGTCAGCCCCATGTGAAGGAGGTTGTGTATTTATACTCCTTGCATGTGCATCCACAATTGTGAAGACAGTGTGGGTAGAAGGGGTCATTCAATCCTATTTTCTCCTGAACATTGTTTGATTATTTTCAAAGCTGAAATCACAAAGAAAGAAGAATTTTGAGTCATTTATTGAAAAAGTGAGGGAACATTGTTTTCCCTGCAGCATAAACACGGGTGATTTATTCTAGAGCCTTTCACCAGGTGGTACTTGCCAAGTGCACAAGGTGAGAATGACTCATCACACTCTTAAGGAGCACATAACAAATGGTGTGTGCTTTCATTAAAAGTGCCTATATTTGTATGCTCAGCCTCACAGGTATCTCTGAGAGTGGCTTTTAGGGTTCAGGCCTACATTTCATATATATACAGAATATGTATACATGATACACAGACATAGACAACAGTGAGGTGATGGCCAGAGGGAAGGAGTGGTTGGGGCTGAGTGGAAATGGGCAAAGGGGGGAGGGATGGGGACATCTGTACTAGTGTCAACAATAAAAACAAAGTTAAAAGACACATAACATGAAATGTGTTCTCTTAACAAATTATGAAGTGTACATCACAGTATTTTAACTATAATCACACTGTTGTACAGCAGGTCTCTAGAACTTCTCATCTTGCATAGCTGAAAGTCTGTACATATTGAGAGTTTGACTGTCATCAGCTTATTTCACTTAGCAAAATGTCCTCAAGTTTCATCAGTGTTGTAATATATAAGATTTCTTTTTTTTATTGTTGCTCAAGTACAGTTGTCCCCATTTCCCCCCACCAGGTCCCCCCACCCCACCCATCCCCACCACCCACCCTCATACCTACATCTTTTGGCTTTGTTGCTGTATCCTTTATAGATGTTCTTTTTAAAATTTTTAAAATTGATTGATTATCCTATTACAGTTTTCCCAATTTTTCCTCTTCTATTTCCCCTCCTCCCTGGACCCCCAAGCCTACAGCATTCACTCTATCTTAGTTCATGTCCATGGTTTGTACACATAAGTTCTTTCAGTCCTCTGTTTCCTATACTAATTTTAACCTCTCCCCATCTATTTTATTGCACTAATTATGCTTCTTCTTCCCTGTCCCTTCCTCCCATTCCTCCCTCCCCACTGAAATCTCTCTGTGTGATGTTTATTTCTCTGATTCTGTTCCTGTTCTAGCTGTTTGCTTGGTTTTTGTTTTTCTTTTCTTTTAGGTTCATTTATTGATAGCTGTGAGTTTGTTGTTGTTTTATCATTCATATTTTTTATCTTCTTTTTCTTACATAAGTTCCTCTTTTTTTAATGGAGTTTGGGGGGCAAGTAAAGAGCATATACTTATTTTATTTTTTGAAAGATTTTATTCATTTATCTTTAGAGGGGAAGGAGAAATGGAGAGAAACATCAATGTACGGTTGCCTTTCATGCATCCCCTGCTGGGAACTGGCCTGCAGGGAACCAGCCTGCAACCCAGGCATTTGCCCTGTGCCCTGACTGGGAATCGAACCGTGATCCTCTGGTTTGCAGGCCTGTGCTCAATCCACTGAGCTACACCAGCCAGGGCCATAAGTTCCTTTAACATTTCTGTATTAAGGGCATGACCACCTACACATTCCACCCTCCTTCTAAAAATAGTTTTCTAAAATAAGTTCCTGCCTTTCATGACTTCAAGTACTTCTTTCGCCCCTTCTTGCCTTAAGATTTCTTCTGAGAATTCAGCTGATAGTCTTTGGACCCTTTGTAGGTAACTGCCTCCTTTTCTCTTGCTGCTTTTAAGATTCTCTCCTTATCTTTAATTTTGGGTAATTTAATTATGATGTGTCTTACTGTGTTTCTTCTTGTATCCAACTTCTTTGGGACTTTCTGGGCTTCCTGGATTCCTGGACATATATTTCCTTAGCCAGAATGGGGAAGTTTTCATTCATTCTTTGTTCAAATAAGTTTTCAGTTTCTTGCTGTTGCTCTTCTTCTGGCACAGCTATAATTCAGATATTGGAATGTTTCAAGTTGTCCCAGAGGTTTGTAAGTCTCTCTTCACTTTTTTGAATTCTTGTTTCACTTTCTTTGAATTCTGTCCTTGTTGGATGTTTATGTTTTTTCATTTGTTCCAAAACATTGCTTTGAGTCCTGGTTTCCTTCCTGTCAGTGTTGGTTCCCTGAATATTTTCCTTTATTTCATTTTGGGTATCTTTCATTTGTTTTTTCATTTTTTGACAAAGCTCAATCAGTTCTGTGAGCATTTTGATTACCAGGGCTTTAAATTCTCCATCAGATAGGTTAGCTATCTCTCCATCACTTAGTTCTCTTCCTGAAGCTCTGTTCTTTCGTTTGGGCCATATTTCTTGTCTTGGTGCACCTGGTAAGTTGCAAGGGGGCAGGGCCTTAGGTATTCATTCACCTGGGCAGGGCAACCCTCTTTGTTGTGTTGGTGGTGCTGTCTGTGTGGGAATGGCCAGAGAGGGAAGGATGCAGCTCACCTGCTTGGCTCTAGCTCCACTTTCCAAAGAACCCTTGTGTGAGACTGGGAGTTTCTCCCTGCATGGCAACCCCCAGCACAGTTCACAGTCAGCTCTGAGTCTCAGTTTTGTTTTCTGCCAGCCTCAACTGTGTGGTCGCCACCTCCTCTTAGTTTTTTTGAGCTGGCCCATCCCAAGCAGTCTGCTACTTGACTGTGGATTTTCTCAGCTCACCTGCCCACACAGCCTCAGTGCACGTTCTTACTGGTCTGGTTGTTCTGGCTGATTTTTTCTTTAATTCCTTGGTTGTCAGAGTTCCATGCACTATGATTTTCTGGTGCTTCTGTTGTTTATTGATTTTAGATTGGTTGTCATCCTCCTTTTGATCGTGTGAGAAAGTGAAGGGTTGCTACCTATGCCTCCATCTTGGCTGCATCCCCAGAGTCTTTATTCCTATATTCTAAAATTGGTACATGGATGGTTCTATGCCTGAGCTCTGGGGTCCACAGCCCTGTCTGCACCATGTGGGCTGGGGATTTCTTTATAGATGCTCTTCGATGGCCCTTTTCCTATTTTCTCTCATTATCTCCCTCTGCCCTCCCCTCTGGTTACTGTCAGTGTGTTCTTTATTGCAATGTCTCTGTTTATATTTTTCTTGCTTGTTTGTTTTGTTGATTAGGTTCCACTTATACATGAGATCATATGGTATTTGTCTTTCACTGCATGGTTTATTTCACTTAGCATAATGCTCTCTAGTTCCATCCATATTGTCACAAATGGTAGGAGCTCTTTCTTACTTTCTGCTGTGCAGACCATTGCCAAATGTATCATAGATTTTTTTATCTACTCGTTTATTGATGGGCACTTGGGTTGCTTCCAGCACTTGACTATTGTAAATTGTGCTGCTATGAACATTAGGGTGCATAGATTCTTTTGGATTATTGTTTCAGGATCCTTGAAGTATATCCCAGTAGTGGAATTGCCAGGTGAAAAGGCTTTTCCATTTTAGTTTTCTAAGGAATTCCATAATGTTTGCCACAGTGGCTGCAGCAGTCTTCATTCCCACCAACAGTGCATTCTCCACAACCTCGCCAGCACTTGTTTGTTGATTTGTTTATGATGGTCATTCTGACTGGTGTGAAGTGGTATTTAATCCTGGTTTTAATTTGCATCTCTCTGATGGCTAGTGATGCTGAGCATCCTTTCATATTTCTCAGAGTTCTCTGTATGTCCTCCTTGGAGAAGTGTCTGTTCAGATCATTAGAAAACATACCATTTTCTAATTGGATTGTTTGTCTTTCTGGAGTGAAGTAATGTGATTTCTTTTTTTTTAAATTAATTAATTTATTTATCTTTAGAGAGGAAGGGAAAGAGAGAGGAAGAGAAATATCAATGTATGGTTGCCTTTTTGTGCATCCCCTGCTGGGAACTGGCCTGCAGGGAACCGGCCTGCAACCCAGGCATGTGCCCTGACTGGGAATCGAACCATGATCGTGTGGTTCGCAGGCCCATGCTCAATCCACTGAGCTACGCTAGCCAGGGCTAGTGATTTCTTTACATATATTGGATATCAAACCATTGTCTGAGGTATCATTTGCAAATATATTTTCCTGTATGGTTGGTTCCCTTTTCAATTTGCTGATGTTTTCTTTACTCATGCAGAAGCTTTCTATTTTTATGAGGTCCATTTTGTTTATTCCTTCCTTTATGTCTCTTGCTCTAGGGGATGTATGGCTGAAGATATTGCTGCATGGACTATCTGAGATTTTTCTGCCTATGTTCTCCTCTTGAGATTTTATGGTGTCACCACTTTCATTTAAGTCTTTTTTTCCATCTTGAGTTTATTTTGGTCTGTGGTGTATGTTGTTGGTTGAATATAAATTGTTGAAATGTTTGTTCTGTATCTGTGAAATATGCCATTGGTATTTTAGTAGGGATTGCACTAATCTACAAATTGCTTTTAGTAGTATGGACATGTTGATGTTGTTAATTCTTCCAGTCCATGAACATAGTACATGCTTCCTTTTGTTTGTGTGTTCCTTAATTTCTTTTACCAGTATTGTGTAGTTTTCTGAGTACAGGTCTTTTACCTCCTTTGTTAGGATTATTTCTAGGTACTTTATTTTTCTTGTTACTTCATCAATAGGATATTTTTTCTGATTTCTTTCTTTTTTTTTTAAAGATTTTATTTATTTATCTTTAGAGGGGAAAGGGAAGGAGAGAGGGAAAGAAATATCAATGTATGGTTGCCTCTCATGTGTTCTGTGCCTGGAACTGGCCTGCAACCCAGGCAGGTACCCTGACTGAGAATCGAACCACGATCCTCTGGTTCGCAGTCCCGCACTCAATCCACTGAGCTACACCAGCCAGGGCTGATTTATTTTTCTGATATTTCATTGTACAAAAATGCCTTCAATTTCTGAAT